AGCTTCTGCATGGTATCACAGGAGGTAGAGAGTGGCAAGCAAGGAGGTGGGGCTATGGAGACCATGGTGGAAAACTAACATTACAAACCAGACCTGGAACTTGCTGAAGGAATTGGCACATGTGACTGACTGCAAACAAAGAGCTGTGTACCATTGCAGTAAGTAAAACCAAACTATAGACCTGTGGGTGACACAGCTTAGAAGCCTGCCACAAGGAGAAGAATCTGCTAACCAAAGCATAATGCAAGAGCAAAAGACAACAGCACACTGAATATTACTGAAGACTCCCCTGCAAAGGAGTAAAACCCTTTGCCAACCCCAGAGTTCACTGAGGAAGACATCGAGAAAATGAGAGATACAGAATTCAAAACACGTGGGCCAGGCGGCATGGCCTAGCGGCTAAAGTTCTCACCTTGAATGCCCCGGGATCCCATATGGGTGGGCATCAGTTCTAATCCTGGCAGCTTCAATTCCCATCCAGCTCCCTGCTTGTGGCCTGGGAAAGCAGTCGAGGACGGCCCAAGGCTTTGGGACCTTGCACCCGTGTAGGATACCCGGAAGAGTTCCTGGTTCCCGGCTTCAGATCGGCGTAGCACTGGCCATTGTGCTCACTTGGGGAGTGAATCATCAGACAGAAGATCTTCCTCTCTGTCTCTCCTCCTCTCTGTACATCTGACTTTGTAATAAAAAATAAAATAAATCTTTAAAAAAAAAAAGAATTCAAAACACCTGTTACAAAGCTTCTTATCAACAACGAGAAGCAAGTAAACTAGGCATTCAAGGATTATGTCACACTGGAAATGAATCAAATGAAAGCTGCTACATCAGAAACAAACAATACAGTGGAGCAAATTAAAGGTACAGCAGAGGGTCTCCAAAATAGAATGAAGACGCAGAAGAAAGAATCTCAGAATTAGAAGATATTTCCTGTCACCAGGGGGAAACAAACAAAAAGCTGAAAGCAGAGCTGGGTCAAGCTAAAAAAGTATTCAAGAATTGAAAGAAACTATTAAAAGGCCAAATATAAGAGTTATGGGACTCCCAGAAGGTGCAGAAAGAGAAGCTAGGTTTAAAAATGTATTGAATGAGATAATAAGGAAAAATTTCCTTATTTAAACAAAGAATTGGGAAACAACATCCAGCAGGGGCACAGAACTTCCAATAGGTTTGACCAAAAGCGATCTTCACCAAGACACATGATAATCAAGCTCTCTTCAATTGAACATAAAAAAAAGAGATCCTTAAATGCGCACGTGAAAAAAAACCAACTGACATACAAAGGAATGCCAATTAAACCCACAGGAGACCTCTCACAGGAAACTCTACAAGCCAAAAGAGGAGAATGGAATGACACATTCCAGATTCTAAAAGCAAAAAATTGTCAGCCCAGGATAACAGACCCAGCAAAACTTTCCTTTATCTTTGAAAGTGAAAGAAAATTCTTCCAAAGTCAAGAAAGTTAAAAGAATATGCCTCTTACAAACTTGCCCTACAAAGGAAACTTCAAGATGCTCTCAAAAGAGAAGAGGAATAGCACCCACTAAAACCAAAGGCAAATGCGAAGAAGAACATCCCAGTAAAATAACAACAGAAGACTAAATCAATGAACAATCCATTGCTAACAGGACCAAACTATCACCCATACACAGTAACCCTGAATGTAAATGGCTTAAACTCATCAACCAAACATCATAGATTAGTAGACTGAATTAAAAAACAAAATCCATTTGTCTATTTGTTGCCTACAGGAGACATGTCTTACCAATAAGATTAGCAGAAACTGTATCTCATGGATTTTGATTTTTTTTCTTTAGTTTCATCTCTTCAACACATTTTTTTCTGATTAAAATCTTCACTGACTCATAGATCATACAGAAGCATCATTATATTGAAGAAGGTTCCTGACTTCCTCTTACATTTCTTCAGCAATACATTAGTCATTCAGTAGCATGTTATTTGACTTCATGGTGTTGTTAATTTCTATTTTTCTTCCTTTGTTGATTTTGCATTGTGGCTTTTCATTTAAGGGGATGTATAATAACTGTGTAATGGAGACTATCATATCCTAGAGTGAGGATACAATGCAGTATGCATCTCTACTTCGAGACAAAGATGGACTCCCAGTGAAACTGTTGATTGTATCTTGACAACAGGATGCTGGACTCTCTGCCATTGTCCATGCCTTCAATGATGGACATATAAGACTGTGTATGAATAATTATACTTTAGTAATGATATAGGGGAACTCAGTGAGGGGGGAGGGAACTGAGAAGGCGATAAGGGAAATCCCAGGGCCTATGGAACTGCATCACACAATGATAATAATAAAAAGAAATAAAATTTTAAAAATAAATAAATAAAAATACATAAGAGCATGTTAAAAAAAAAAAGGAAGAAGGAAGAGTTCATTTGTCAAAATTTGCTGGACTAAAAACCAACCATTAAATGTTGTCATCAGCAGTGTTGAGGAGGAAAGATAATCACCACCGGTGAAAAACAGAGCACAAAGGGAGAGAAAGAAAAAATAGGCTGTTCTTTTCAAAAGCACTTCTAACATGCAGCGCAGAGAAATAAGATCCTGATGAAGTTGTAGAGTCAAGGGAGAATTTGCTTTTACTTTGCTTTTCAGAGAAGAGATACTATAGATGTTATATTGATGAAAATAATCTGATAGACAGGAAGAAACTGAAGCTAGTGACAGAAGAGGTAACTATTGGGCAACAATGTCCACTGGCAGTGAAGAAGTGATGTAACATAAAGGACAAGTAGAAAAGCTGAACTTAAGAGCTTGGGATTATTGCTGTATTGTGGTGGATAAAGCCCCCACCTGGCTGATATCCTATATGGGCACCAGTTCAAGTACCAGCTGCTCCACTTTCTATCCACATTCTTACCTAAGTGCCTGGGAAGTCAGCAGAGGATAGTACAAGTGCTTGGGACCCTTCTTCATCTCAAAAAGAAAGAGGAGGTACAAGATTTGGACTGGGGCCACAGCAAGCTAATCCCCCACCTGCAAACAACTGGCATTCCATATGGATGTCCATCAAGTCCTCCACCTGCAAGCAACTGGCATTCCATGTGGATGCCCATCAAGTCCCAGCTGCTCTACTTTTGATCCAGCTCTCTGTTTAGGACCCCACAGTCATGGGCTCCTGCATTCACATGGCAGGCAAGAAAGAAGCTCCTGCCTCCCAGCTTCAGATCAGCTCAGCACTATCCATCTGGAGAGTGAACCAGCAGATGGAAGAGCTATCTGTCTCTTCTTCTGCCTGTAAAAATTGGTCTTTCAAATAATAGATCATATATATGGAAAGAACTGGATGAAAAATACTAGACATAGTGATGACAAACGGAGAACAGAATGTAGGATTCTTGAAAACATGACTACAGTTAGACTTATTTTTTTAAAGATGTATTTCAATTTATTGGATAGGTAGATACACTGAAAAGGAACTAACAAGAGAAAGATCTTCCATCTGTTGATTCACTCCTCATGTGGTCACAAGGGCCAGAGCTGAGCCTATCCAAAACCAGGAGCCAGGAGATTCTCCCAGGTCTCCCATGTGTTGCAGGGTCCCAAGGTTTCAGGCCATCCTCAAGTACTTTCCCAGGCCACAAGCGGGGAGCTAGATGAGAAGCAGGGCCATTGCGATTAGATCCAGCGCCCATATGGGATCCTGGAGCTTGGATGGTAAGGACTTTAGCCACTAGGCTACCATGATGCACCCTTATTGGTAGAGACAAAATCTAAGGTGTGTCCATAGAATGGGTAACTGAGGTAAAGTACAAGAAAAACATCTATGAGAGTAAGTCAAGGAAATGAGATGTCAGTTTAAAAAAAGAGAGATCACTTAAAAGCATATTGAAACAACAAAGATTAACATTTACAGCCAAGACATATAATAGAATGATTACGAGACCTGCTAGGTCATAGAGCTGACAGGTCCAGAGTGAAAGCCTGCACATCCAGGGTTCTATTTTATGTTGTGAGCTGATGACAGACCAGCAGTATCCAGACATCTAAGACAGATTTTCAAATTTTGTGGGGGAAGAAAAATCCTAAGTCACAAATGGCAGAAATACCCTCATGAAAGAATGGAAAATTCAAAAATAAAATAACAAATAAAATTTTCATCTTGTAGACTCCCTGAACAAATTTTTAGATCCACTAAAATCCAGTTGTTCAAAAAGATTAATCACACTATTTTTGCCTCACAAAAATTAAGAAAATAACATCTACTGTGAAATTACATTATGAGTGCAATAATATCAGTGGTGCATCCCAGGTAAAGATATCTGGTGCTAAACAATCCACCTGCTACTCTAACAGAAGAGAATATGGGGAAAGAAATGTTTTGTGGCAGAGTAAGGAGATTACGTAGCTACTACACTCGATCTTAGCCAGAAGCCCGAGAAGCAACAGGAAATTAAGTAAAACCTCCTATTGGTATCTGCTGTATCTATGCACTGGGTCAGGCATTTAACAAATAAGATAATGTCCCTTTTGAGAGATGAGTCAACTGCTCAAGATCTAAAACTAGGAAAATAAAGGAGCTATGATTAGAACCCATGTCAGATTGATCCTAAACTTAAAAGTTTCTTTCTGCTTAAACTCTACTTTTAAATACTTCAATGTAAGTGATAGATGGTCCTGATTTTCCTATATGATTTTCTGCAGAAAAGAATATAAGCACTACAAAAGACTATCAGATGATTAGTAACAGTGATAACATCACCTCCTTATACCTTATCTCTTCTCCTTAGAAGTCCTCAAAGTGTGTCCACTAAGTTTATACAATAATGGTTTCTGGCCAACACAGTCAAATGAGTTGAAAACTAAGAATAAATAATGTTACTGCCGGGGACAGAAGAGAAAAAACAATTGGGAAGAAAAGCAATACACTTTGTTTTATGTGACTTCATTTTCACTCACCAAAGACAACTATGACCATCTTCATCACTGGCAGCCCTGAACCCTACAGAGAAACTTTCACACTCACCTTCTTTATCCGTAACTGACCAGGTATACTTCTGAAAAGGTTTACTTGATGGAAGGGGGTCCATCTCCAGCACTTTATAAATCTGGCCAAAGGCGGACAGTCTGAGTGCATGCTAAAGAACAAAACATTATATTTAATCAAACTGTAATAGCATCCAGCTAAAGAGATATTCATTAAACATTGGTGGAACAATAGCAGAGATCTCTTAGAAAGATAATTAAAAAGTATTCAAACAAAGCAATTCATAAATTAGTATGTAATAAAACAAAACAATCTTCCCCAGTCTTCTACCTGTGCACTGTGGGTAATATCTTCTTTTTGCTGGACCGTCATATAGCTCAGAGCATCTGTGGGGTCTCGTTCACAAGGATCATGAAGACCAGGACCCCCTGTGGCAAGGTCAGAGGCAGAGGAAAAGCACAGGTGGTGCTTAGAACCAAGCTCAGAAGTTAGTCAAAATAACATAAAAGCCAGGAGAAAAACACCAAAGTCAGCTCAACCAAGTGGCGTGAAAAGGACACTCATTCTCATTGTAAGCACTTAAATGTCCTCATTTGATACCTGAAGTCACTTGCTGTATCTAACACCAAAATTGAGTCTGACTGAGAATTCAGAAACAGAAGGATGAACCACCCCAAATCCTTAGAAGGATTACATATGGAAAATAAGATAAAGTTCAATTTTTATAAATTTAACACCAGACTGCAAACAGAATAAACTTTAGATATTTTAACCAAACATTTGCATTTCCAAATTCAGAGTTCTATGTAAAGCAAGTTCACGGCAGACACAGTAACTTATTAGTATCCTTTATGTTAGTACATATAAAACACAAATTGTAATTATTTTAAAAAGAGCACTTTTCCAATACTCATTCTAGTTGAAAAAATTCTAAGCAAAAGAAATCATAAGCATCATTTTCCTGTGCAGAGAACAAATTTACCATATACTTAGAAAAATGATTAAAAGTGAGATTTTTCTGATTCTTCTGCCTTCAGAGTTTGAAACCCTTACCAGGAAGTAGTATTCCAGATGCCAAACACTCCATTACTCGTCTCAAGGCCTCCCCAGCGCCCAAAGGTCTATTACAAGTACCTATAGACTTTTCACATATAAGCTCTAGTGGCTAGAAGATATTAAATTACAAATTAGTACATGCACCAAGTGTTAAAAGGATTCCAGTTAAATGTGAGCTGACATTTCTATTTACAAGGGAGGCCAAAAAGGTAAAGTCAATTTAACATTTAGGGCTCATTTAAACTTTTACCCATGATTATCAACTTCTACTCCCGTCAGTTTTAGGACCAAGCATTTCTAAGACATTTTCAGAATATATGTTGTAAAAATCTTCATTTTCAGTTATTCTGCAAGGATCACTTGAAAAACTATGGTGATCCAACTCACTTAAAAAAGATTAAATAAGCTTTCATGTAAGTTAGTAACAGCTAATAACTATCCGATGTACAAATACAGCCAACTTACCTCCTATTTAACTTAGCACACAAACTGCAATTATTTAAATGTCACTATTGAAATCTCAATTTCAGACGCCTGCTCAGGTACTATAATTAGCATAAATGAAGTACCAAACCTCCTTATTTAATAAAACATAAATTCACAATGCTACAAACTTAACACTTGCTATATTAATAGATAAATAACCCTTCACATTTCAGTTGTTTTAAAATGTTAAGTTAGGAGTCAACTGTAAGTTAATTTTATCCTATATATCCTGTGTCCACAATCTAGTGAAATATGCTGTTTGCTCAATTTTGTTATTTTATTTACTAATGTGGACACCAGCCAACCAGGCAACAATCTCCACTGTAATAGAAGGCAGCACTGGAAGACAACAGGCCTATCAAGTAGGCTTCTGTGGGCAATGGGGACCAGTGATGGATCAACCATCAGTGCAGTCAAGAGCAGGAAGGTACTTTTAAAGATACAACCTTTTAAGAAAAAAATAGAAAGCTCAGGTTCTATAACATAACTATAAGCATTAAAAAGAATTCATTAAGATACAGAAACTTTTTTACACAGCTAAAAACAATGTAACATACACTGGCTAACTCAGAAGACAGCCAATTTATACCAGTAGAGTAATTCTGCCAGATTTCCTCTAGCATAGCTTCAGACTTGACTTCGAACTTTAAGTACTCACCCATCCTTTCAATGGTGCCCACGTGGGGACTCTGTTGCACAAGTCACGGAGAATGCGGAGAACAATTACACATGATTTTAATCCATTTGCCCTTGCCTAAAACAAACAAAATTGTTCCAATATCCCTGTTGAAGCCCATTCTTCATTGTTACTACACTGATCCTGGACCAGGTCTTTAAAATACATACTAATGAAAACACCAATCATTTATCAATAAACCAAAAATAACAAGTTATCAAAAGTAGTAAAATCATGATTCAGAAAAGAGATTTTAAGGTTAATAAAAAGAGTAACAATACAACAGCTTTTGTAGCTTGCCACCAACTCCATCTCAGGCAACCTACCATCATAACTGATACCTTTTCTCAACCTTGTCTGTATTGTCTAAAACTCCATTTGAATTCAGAATACTGAGTCAAAAAAAAGAAAAACAGTCCTAATAAAGCATCACTAGTCATGCAAGTTACTTCAGGCACTTTATCTACATTAACTCAGTTACTAAAATCACCACCCTATCAGCCAGAAAGTGTCCCCCTACTTACACCCCACCTTACACAGAATTACTTGGCAGGTGTGCCCAATGAAACCTGCACATGACTACAGTAACAATAAACAATAACAAAGAGCCGACCTGAAACCATTTGGCATGTCGGAGAGACGCCAAGGCGTTCAGGCATTTCTGCCTGTCCAGTAAGTCCGGAGGATCTTTCATTGCAACATTTTCTAACGGTAAAACGGGACAAAAAGAGACAGAAATAATTTGACCAAGGGTTCCTGTCAAATTACCAAACAATTTTTTAAAAATGGCAGCATTTGAGTAATTAATACTCCAAGAAAATTTCATGATCAAGTTCTGTTGCATTCTAGTTACGTGCCCTACAATTACTTAACATGAACAGTCATCGAGCAGTTCTATGCACAAGTGCAATGGAGCATCAATGATTCCACTGAATAAACATGATGACTGCAATATACAATGTGAGATCTTACTAAGCATGGATGTCATCAAAGGGTCGAATTCAGTATAAAGCACTCTTTCCTTTCGCAGGGAGTGACGAGAGGAAATCTGGGAGCAGTCACATTAACAACTTCTTTTTATAGAAGAAATACTAATCCCTGATGAGTTTTTAAACAATACAACAATCAATTTGAGATTCACGGGAAAAATACTATGCCAATTAAGTTTGTTTTACACTTACATAAGCTCCTCCAACAAGATAGCCATTAACAGAACTCAAGTGTTACCTTGGGTTTATTATTTATTTATTATTAAAACCAAAACTTAAAAATTGAAATGTATTTTTTAAAGGATAGCAAAGACTACAATCTAATTGTGTTTTAACTTGCCTTGACCTTGGATTAGATAACAAAAAACAACAAAATTAGAATTCCAAACATGTGAACAATAACAAATACTCATGCCTGACAACGTGCCCTTTATGTTATTAGGAAACAAAACCTTTTAAAAATTTTTTAAAGATCTGTTCACTAAATGTGCATCATACAAACATTTCGTGAGCAAATTTTTTACCTGAGCAGATTATGTCAGGTTAATCTCTTTCAAAAATTCTCTCAAATCTAACAGACCATTAACACTGGTTGGTATTATCATGATGGCAATAATTAACTTGGTAGTATATTTGTGTGGGTCAACTGAGACAATATAAAGACTTTTAAGTAGAAGCAAGAGCACTGATGTTTTCTGGTTTCCTCATATCAAATGACTCTACTGTAGCAACAGAATGTTTTTCAACATTTATTTTAAACACTTAAAGAGAGAAGCAGAAAAGGAGACACAGAGAAAGCTCTTGCACCTGCTGGTTCACTCCACTGATAGTCACAATGGTCAGGGTGAGCGTAAGGAACCTGGAATGTCTCCCATGTGGGAGGGAAATGCCAAGTATCTTTTTATTGTTGTTTTTTAATTGGAAAGTCAGATATACAGAGAGGAGGAGAGGAAAGACAGAGAGAAAAATCTTCTAGCCACTGGCTCACTCCCCAAGCAGCCGCACCGGCCAGAGCTGAGCCAATCGAAAGCCAAGAGCCAGAAGCCTCCTCCAGGTCTCACACATGGGTGCAGGGTCCCAAGGCTTTGGGCTGTCCTCGACTGCCTTCCCGTGCCACAGCAGGGAGCTGGATGGGAAATGGAGCTGCCGGGACTAAAACCAGTGCCCATATGAGATCCTGGCATGTTCAAGGTGAGGACCTTAACCATTACACTATCGCGCCAGGCCCTTACCCTATTATCTTACAGTAGAGGCATCAGGAATGGAAGAAGCAAGTGAAGTAAAGGAAGTTCAGATAAGAAAAAGAAAAGCAAGCAAATTCTTTCTGTACTTTCTATCATTTTTGTCCAATGGCCAAATTTTAACTAACATCCTACTTTTGACTGTGACATGAAAATTTTAAGCAGGGGACAACTGAAAAATGTATTGTTAAATTCATCTAAAAGATTACAGACACAAACCCTTATTTTTAAAAGAAATCAATACAGTAGCTTGCTACAGTCAATATTTGCAGAAAAGAGATCCTGCTACAGACTTGAAAGGGGCAAGGGTTTGAAGAGAACACCTGCGTCTGCTCCGGATCCAAAACAGCCAACCGAGAGCTGAAGCAGGTCTCGGATATGGGGTTAAGGAATCGCCAGCAGCATTCCAACAACTATGCAAAGGGTCACCCCGAAACTCAACCTTTCATTCCATTTTTCCCTTATTTGTTGAGTGCCCTAGTAACTAATGACAGCTAAAACTCAACTCAACGCCTCTGTGCTTTTTCTGCGTGTTCCTTATGAGATACCTAATAACAGGGAAAGCTATTTGAAAGGGCCCTGAAAAGTAATCCTGCTTGTAAAACAGTAAATATGGCCACAGAAATTGTGCTCTTGCAACTGAAAATATAAACGGTGAACTGAAAAAAAAAAAAAATCAGACATACTTCTGTATATCTAACACTGAAGAGGCAAGTCTGACACTTTAATGCAGCACCATCCACTGACTCTGCCTGGTCTCAATCATGTACTTACCTTTGGCAAACTTTACCTACATGTTAGAAGTTAACAGGGCAGACTGTGTGTGTGTGTGTGTGTGTGTGTGTGTGTGTGTGTGTGAAGGTTGTTGCGACAAAGTTTGAGGTCGAGGTCAGGGTAGAGAGCAGGAAGTTGAGATACCACTGGGAACTATCTCCAAGAAAGATGTACAGTTACTTTTTTTTTAAACCAAGAGAAATATAATAACTAGAAACTGGGAGGAAAACATGAGCAAAGGGAGTGTTTTTTTTTCCAATCTTAGAAGCATCTAGAAATCCAGAACCTAAATAAACCCTTGTGCTGTCATCACAGGTAAAATGCACTACATGAGGTAGATGAAAAAACTGGCATGAGAAAATACAATTATACAATTCAGGTCTCAAATGCTTAATTATGCTTGATCATCCTGCCAACAAATAACAACAAATGTCTGACAAAGCCTACGTTAAATAAAAGGAACAAAGTACCCAAGAATGAATCAACGAGTCTGGAAGGTTAAAGAGAATGGCAGAGCAAATGTTCCTGCCATTTGGAAGGAGGGGCAATGAACAGGAGGAAAAACAGGCACTAAACATCAAAGTCAAGATGATTCCCTTTCCTTACATGATCCCACATACCATCTGACGTGTGTGGATCCTTCACTATCTCAAACACCTTCCCCACCAACTATGACTCCCCTACTTTATTCTGCAAAGATTTATTTATTTTTATTGGAAAGGCAGATATACAGAGAGAAAGATCTTCTGTCAACTAATTCACTGCTCAAGTGACTTCAATTGCCAAAGCTAAGCTTATCTGAAGCCAGGAGCCAGGAACCTCCTCCTCCGGGTGCAGGGTCCCAAGGCTTTGGGCCATGCTCGACTGCTTTCCCAGGCCACAGGAGGGAGCTGGATGGGAAGCAGAGCCACCACATGAACCAGTGCCCATATGGGATCCTGGAGCATGCAAGGCGAGAACATTAGCCACTAGGCAATCAGGCCAGGCCCCGACTCCCCCACGATATAAAAGATTCCATCTCATAATAGTTTCTAGCAAGTGTACAGTGTATGCAGACTGTGTTTAGCCTCTCTAAACAAAGGTTAAAATTAAAACAGTGGCATACCAAGCTTAGCGGCATCACTAAAAGTTTTAACAGTATGCCATGTGACAGAAAACCACAGGGAAAAAGAAGTATAATGTTCCTCAAAGCTTACAGAGTAAAGACAGAAATGCTGACAGCTCTAAGCAAAACCATGGGTAACCCAGTCTCTGGCAACTTCAATCTTTGTCATCCTGTGCTCAACTAGATTTTAACAGCTAGCATTACCAACTCTGCTTAGAAATGATTGGTCTTTATACACTTTATACTAGAGGGTCAAGAAGAACACAGCTTGCTGAAATTAACAATCATCTTGACACACCAGAATCATAGTTCTACTGGTTAAAAAAAAAAAACTGTCATTTAAGATTAAGTTTTCAGAGGTACTACAGATACTATCAAAAAAAGTACAAGCGTAAGTTTAGTAACAGATCAGATGCAGTATGATTTTAAAGTGACTCATAAATGTGTCTAATAGCTGCTGAGTACTGTATAGCTGCTTTTACTATTCCCTATCCTCTCCCACAATGTTTGCAGAAAGCCTGCTGAGGAAAAGCACTAACAGGGACTCCCCACTGCACTGTCCTGACTGACCGTGGCCCAAGGGCTGGCCCAGGATCAATGCCACAGGCAGGTTTCAGAAACATACGAAAGCCTGTCTTACAAGGTAAGATATCAAAACCAAACCAGCAGGAACTCATTATATTTGCCACTAGATAAGGACAGCATCGACCATGGAGCAATTCCGCTTAAGAAAATTTATTCAAAATAGTATCCTCCCTCTCAAACATACTAAATTGAAAATGTTAACAGGGTCACAAACTTGCTAGGAAAAAAAAACCTTACTAAAAGATCACTTACTGAAAAAAATCCTATTTATATACCTTCACTTTAAAACTAATTTACATATGGCAATTATAAATGTCACAAGCATGTGATGGCTAGAAGGCAAGAGCAATACGCAAGCAAGTTTGAAAACAATTCTGTATTGGACCACATTTGAACTAAAATGTCACCATTAGGCCAAAATACAAATAGACTGGCTGACACCAATAACTTAATGCAAAACTAAACACACAAACAAAAAATTCACGATAGCAAAATAGTACAAAAACTAGTGGAGATCAACAGTGATACCACAGGTTTTTTTTTTAATGAACATACTTTATATTTTCAACTTGCATGGTTTTACAAAATATACCCATTATATAGAAACAAAGTCATTTAAAATACTATGGGTTGTGAAACACACATGAAAAACTCTTATTTCCTGAATCCATAGAGAATACTTAACATGATATTCAAGAGAACTATCATATAATCAAAACATACACAAAAACAAATGCATGTATATATATCTCTATCTCTATATGTGTATATATATACACACACGCAAGCATACCTCCATCCTTCTTCTCCCATTCATCCCTAATGAGGGGGGAAGTGAGTATCACCTTCAAAGTGAGTGTGGGTTCTTTCGTGTTCCGAATTATAATAGAAGCCTCATTCACACATTGTTCCACTTGGTATTTCTCTTCTGTGAGTTTCTGAAAGTCATCAAGATTTCAAAAACACACAATTAGATTGAAATTTTAAAAATTAACAATGTTTGAAATGGTAAAACATATCATACTGCTTTGATGAAAGCAAACAAAATCCCTCTTCCAAGAGGGGAAATGCTTCTCTTTCCAATTTAGAGCCAAGCCCTCAGGATCCCTCCAAAAGCAACTGTCCTCCATCCATACTGTTAGCAAAACAGTATTTGAAACCATTCTTTGTAATATTTGAGATCAAAATGTAGCAGCCAGATTTTATGATAAATGGTAAGTTACTGTATCTGAAATTACTATCACGAACTGTAGAATAACAAATGGCTGAGCAGCTCTGTGAAGCAGAAGTTTTTGGCTAGAAGAAAATAAGCAGCAACTCTTACTGCAAAAAATGCATGACTAGTTACACTATATAGGGAATTTTGAAAGAACTGAGCAGACATGAATGAAAAAGAGCATCTGCCCAGTGACCGAGCAGGTCAGAAATAACTTCCACCCTTCTGTGACAGCAGGTCTCAGGTCATTCCAGTGAGACTTAGCCTCATGAGACAAATCATTTGATATCCACAAAGAAACCAACTCACCTTTCCTTAGCATAGAACTATAAATATACAATTAGGGGCCTCTTGAAAAACAACCTGTTAGTTACAATTGCATGTTATGTTTAGCATATCACTCGATACTAGATAATTTTTAAAGATTTATTTATTTTTATTGGAAAGACAGGTTTACATAGGGAAGGAGGAACAGGAAGATCCCTCTACTGGTTCACTCCCCCAAACTGCCACAATTGCCAGACCTGAGCCTATCCGAAGCCAGGAGCCTCCTCCACATCTCCTACGTGGGTGCAGGGTCCCAAGGCTTTGGCCCATGGTCTACTGTTTTCCAGGGCACAAACAAGGAGCTAAATGAGAAATGGAGCAGTCAGGACATGAACCAGCACCCATACGGGAGCCTGGTGTGTTCAAGGTGAGGATTTAGACACTGAACCATCATAGCAGGGGCTACATTATATAGTTTAATAGTAAGTTACACAAGAGCTTTCTTGGTGATGAAATTTACTATTCATTACAAAACATCTGTGCTATTGCAGTTTAAGTGGAGATATTGCCAGGTCTCTGGCTCATCAATTTGCATAGAAGAACTCAAAGCGATCTACATAATAGAATTTTACCATTAAGCATGCCCTCCAAAAGTAGAAAATAAAAGCTCATCATAATTTTGAATACAGGAAAAAGGAAAAAACCATGAAAACTGCTCATGGTATTTTGCCACTAAAAAAATTAAAGCTGTCTACTAGAGAATGAACCAAACTAAAATTTTCAATTATGCATGCAGATCACCCAAAGACATACTCTAAAATAATAAGCATATGGCATGATTAGACTAATTTTACGTGAGTCGTCCTTCATTCTTAGAAGTTCTAAGGTTACCCTAAAAAAGAGCATGGAGAGGGCTGGCATAGTGGCATAGTATGCTAAGCCTCCACATGAAAAGCCAGCATACGATGTGTGCAATATGTTGAATCCCATATGTTCTACTTCGAACCCAGCTCCCTGTCAATGCCTGGGAAGACAGCAGAAGATAGCCAAGTGGTTAGACCCCTGTACCCACATATGGGAGACCCAAAAGCAGCTCCTGGCTGCAGGCTTTGTTCATATCAGCCCATCTCTGGCAATTGCAGCCATTTGAGGAGTGACTATGGTGATGAAACATCTCTGTCTCTGATTCTACCTCTGTAACTCTGCATTTCAAATAAAAAGTAAATCTTATGGCACCAGAAACCTTGTCATGAGAAACGCTCCCGAGAAAGGTCTTTTGACGTTTATTTATTCAGACAGAAAGTGTGTTCTCATGCACTTGATATACTCCCCAAATGTTTGCAAATTGGCTATATGAAAGCTGGTAGTTGGGAACTCAAGTCTCCCAAGTCACGTCACAGTGCCGCCTGCATTCAGAGAAGATGGGGCCAGAGCCAGGGCTGAGGACTGGCCTCCAGTGCTCTCCACTGGCTAAGTGCTCATCCCGAGGAACAAGCTTCTCAACCCATAGAGTGTAAGACCGCACCACACCTTCCACACTTATGCCAAGAAAATGGCAGAGGAAGAATGGGAAAGTCATAGTTCAAATGACTTTCCAAATTATTATTAGCAGTAATCAATACATATATGCTTGTATGTACACAGGTGTTTTAAAAAGATCATGTTATTTCTGTGCTGAGATTCTAAAACCAGTGTGTCATTATTGTGGTGTTGTAAAAGCTCATGAAGTACCACAGTAACTACTGTAGTTTTGTACTAATTTCAACATTTCATTTTACTTCAACTTCAGCATTACTGATTTTTTTAAAAAAGATTTATTTGTTTTTATTAGAAAGGTAGAACACGGAGAGGAGGAGTGACAGAGAAGAAGCTCTTCTGTCTGATGATTCACTCCCCACATGGCTGCAATGGCCAATATTGCACCAATCCGAAGCCAGGAGCCGGATGCCTCTTCCAGGTCTCCCACGCTGGTGCAGGATCCCAAAGCTTTGGGCCGTCCTCAACCTCTTTCCCAGGCCACAAGCAGGGCGCTGGCTGGGAAGCAGGGCCACCAGAATTAGAACCGGCACCCATATGGGATCCTGGCAAGTGCAAGGTACGGACTTTAGCCAACAGGCTACCACGCTGGGCCCTGAGTATTACTACTGAATAAACTTGTCAATGTCGACAACAACAACAACAAAAAAATCAGAGTTAAAGCTAAGTTTGTGGAGGCTGGAATTGTGGCAGAGTGAGTAAAGCTGTTGCAGTCTGTGATGCCAGCATCCTGCACAGGGTCACGCTCCAGCTGCTCCACTTCAAATCCAGTTCCCTGTCAATGGCCTGGAAAAAGCCCTGGAACATAACCCAAGTGCCTGGGACCCTGTACTCATATAGGAGATCCCGATGGGCTCCTGGTTCTTGGCTTTTGCCAAGCCTACACCTAGTTATTGAGGAAATGTGGGTAGTTTTGACATACGCATGTGTATACATATAAGTGTGTAATACACACACGGATATACACAGATATATATGCCTTAGTGCAAACAAATGCTGAAAGCCAACTATAGCCTTTCAAAATTTGTAATTTTTCCTTGAAATTTCTGAAAACCCCCTTATTTCTGAGTACATGTCTGCAATATTATCTGGGATCAGCATATAGTTATTGCTCAAATTTTACAAGAAAATGCATCTTTGTCCGAGCACAGATTCACTGTTAGAGAACTCTACTTGTTACTTTAAATAAGAGTTCTTATAACTCCTACTACTGACCTTAACAGTTGAAGTCTCTCATCTTTTCTATGACAATTAACAATATAATTGGTCTTACTGAAATATTTTCTAGCCTAAAAAAAATCTCAGTCTCCTTAAATGTGAGGTAGACTATACAGCCTGACTCTCCTCTGTCACCCCATGACCAGCTGCTAACGCAATGATTTAAGGAGGGCTCAGTGCAGTAGCCTAACAGCTGAAGTCACCACCTTGCATGCTCCGGGATCCCATATGGGCACTGGTTCTAATCCCCGCAGTCCTGCTTTCCACGTAGCTCCTTGCTTGTGGCCTGGGAAAGCAGTTGAGGACGGCGACACTGTACCTGCGCAGGAACCTTGGGAGATGCTCCAGGTTCCTGGCTTCTGATCAGCACAGCTCCAGCCATTGCAGCCACTTGGGGAGTGAATCAATGGATGGAAGATCTTCCTCTCTGTCCCTCCTCCTGTCTATATATCTGACTTTGTAATAATAAATAAATAAATAGGGCCCGGCGCGGTGGCGCAAGTGGCTAAGTCCTCGCCTGGCACGCCCGGGATCCCATATGGGCGCCGGTTCTAATCCCGGCAGCCCCGCTTCCCTTCCAGCTCCCTGCCTGTGGCCTGGGGGGGCAGTCGAGGACGGCCCAAAGCTTTGGGACCCTGCACCCGCGTGGGAGACCCGGAAGAGGCTCCTGGCTTCGGATCGGCATAGTATCGGCCCGTTGCGCTCGCTTGGGGAGTGAATCATCGGACGGAGGATCTTCCTCTCTGTCTCTTCCTCTCTGTATATCCGCCTTTCCAATGAAAAAAAATAATAAAAATAAATCTTTAAAAAAAAAAAAATAAATAAATAAATCTTATTTAAAAAGAAATTTAAGTGGGACCAACATTGCGGTGTAGATGGATCCACTGCTAGCAACCCATCTACTAGTATCCCTCTGCTAGCATTCCACGGTTAGTATCCCATCAAGGTGCCAGTTCGTTTCCAGGTTGCCCCAATTCTGATGCACATCCCTTGGTAATGACAATTGAGTCACTGCACTTGATAATGCCAACCGAGTCCATTATGGACTCAAGAGTAACAATGTCTACTCCATGAAAATAGAAACACATATTATAAGCTGAAAAAAATATAAAAATAATGGGGACAAGAGAAATCTTATTTTCATTGACTTTATTGAAAGGCAAACTTACAAAGGGAGAACAAGAGGGAAAAAGGAAAGGGAAATAGTGGTAGAGGAAAAGGGAAATAAGAGGGGTCGTGAGAAGATTTTGTAGGGAAGGAGAGAGACAACCCTTAAATGTCTGTAACAGCCCAGCTCAGGTCAGGCAGAAGCCAGGAACCCAACCCTCACCTCCCACTCGGGTGAAAGGGAGTAAGTATTGGGTCTTCTTTCACTGCGTTTCCTGGCACATCAGCAGAGAAGCTGGGACTCAATCTAGCACTCCAAGATGGGGTGCCAGTGTTATAAGCTGTGGCTTACATGCTACATCACAATGCCTCTTAGAATTCTCATGGTCATTAGTACAGTTAGCCAGAAACACATTACTAAGCTTTCCATTTCTTAAAACTTTATAATATATAGGATGTTTACCATTCCTGTTTGCCAAATGATCACAAAGGAATTCAGAAGACATCTAACCCTAGCAAAGACTATAAGGCATTTCTGCATCAAAACTGAAAGCAGAAAACCCAAAAAGTACCTTGCCATTTAGAAACCTTACGTTAAGATTTGATAGGTAAAACAGCACCCCCAAAAGTAACATAAAAGTAAGTCTAAAAAGTAATGCAAATGTGTCAACAGAGTAATGAGTTTAAAAACCAGTTGGTGTATGTAGATTAACAAAAATAACTCCCTAACAAAACTGCTGAAAACAAACTTACAATTTTTACTCCTTCAAAGACCCCTTTTAGAAGAAACATAAAAAGAAAGCAGTAAAAAACAAAAGAACATACAACACCTCAAAGTTTCTATCTGTGCTCTGACACCTTTGTGTGCCACTGATATGAGCACAAACTGATAGGGAATCAGTAAAAGTGAGTAATCAGATGATTAGATGAGTCAGTATATTCCTGACTCAGTTTACTCTCTGTGTTGCACCTAAAGGACGTGTTTATGCAAGCTTCTCCCGTGGAAAGAGTCCGTGACTAGACTCCCTCACACTCAGCTTCTTCAAGTGACTGAAACTGAAACCACAACCGCTGCTGGAACTGGCACTTGGGGTGGCTGGCGGGCGGGCAGGCTCCCTGGGCTCAGTGCCACATTTGTCCACCTGCAGCCCTGTGGAGCCTTCAGAACTCCTTCCAGAGAACATGCCAACTGAAATTTTCTTAAAGCATCCAATGTGAAAATTGCTTGAAAACCAAGAATTGGGCCCAGTGCAATGGCTCAACTGGCTAATTTGACATTTCCATATGGACTATGAGTCCTGTCCTAGCTGCTCCATTTCCCATACAGCTTCCTGCTTGTAGCCTGGGAAAGCAGCAGAGCATGGCCCAAAGCCTCGGGACCCTACTTCTGCGTGGGAGATCCAGAAAAGGCTCAGGGTTCCGTGTTCAGATTGGCTGTGCTCCGGCCATTGTGGCCATTTGGAGAGTGAACCAGTTGGATGGACAATCTTTTTGTCTCTCCTTCTTTCCGTAAATGTGCCTTTCCAATAAAAATCTTATACTCTTAGGAAAAAAAAAAAGAAAACCAAAACCAAAAATACTGAATTTTCCCTGAGAAAACTGAGTCTTACAACGTCAAAAGTAATTTTATATAATTGTTATCTAAGCTCTTTCCAATCTTATTTTTCTATATGACACCAACCCTGCTAAGAATTTCACAACACTGAGATATAATTGGGGGGGGGGGGGAGTAGATAATTTCGAACAAATGAAGAGTTTCAATTAAATCCATCTGAAAAAAGCCATCTTAATTTGATTAATAAATCCTGAATGCTAACCACAAGTTAGGTTTCAATGACCCAGGCTACTGGTATTCCTTTTACCTGTATTTACAGCTTATTATTATCAATTCTTGTTAATAAATTCATCAATGTCACTACCACTTTCACCTCTTTACAAATTCCACTAGAGGTCCAGTTAAACTGTACTCACCTGAATCTGAATGGGAAGATTCTCTTTGACTGTGTTTAACAGGGTCTCTGTGGGTTTCTCTTTGCACATTAAAACCAGCTCCAAGTCCATATCATCTTTAATGAGCAAGCCTTTTGCGACCAAGCCAATCCTCATTACGCCACACAATGTCCGACCACCTTGATCCCTAAAAATAAAAGCCTGCATGATTACTTTTACAACCTATTTCCCAAACTATAACTCAATTATCATCTGGTTTCCTGGATAACCGCATGAAACGAGAATAGATTAATAAAGCTCAAAAACCCACAGGTAAGTCTAAGATTTAGTTCATAAGGCATCTCATCTTCTCCAAAGGATCCTAAAGGAAACGTATTTCACACTATAGATTTTGTAATTCCCTACTAGATCTGGTATTACTTAAGAAAACTCCAAAATACCAAACTTGTACCTCCATGAGCAACTTTTCCAATTTTGTTCTATTGTTTTAGTGGTAAACGAATAACGGTATACTAAGAAAGCAAAAGTGCAGAAATCAAGAAGATCCACGTCCTACTCCTGGCAGTGTCTGTTACCTTAGCACCCACAACTGAAACAATTTACAACACAATGAGCCAAGGGCCCTCTCAGATTCATTATTCTAAAAACCCACAAGAGTTGATAGAGAAGCCAGAATAATATGACAAAGAGATGAGGAAGCAAAGCACAAACACTCCAAATCCAGGAGTTTCTAAAAAGCACACTTGAAGATCTCAAGCTATTAACAGGACGTAAGAAAAATACTCATTTGTCAATTTTAGTTCTAAAAGCTTCTTAATAGTCCATTTTTCTTAATTACAGCTGAAAATAATAACTAAGCTTTGCATTAGTAAAAACACAGCAAAGGAGACCATTCCTGCCTGCCCCGGTGACAGGGGCAGTAAAACATGAAGTATTCTACTAGAAAGGGAAGAGAACAGCTAAGAACCAACTGCAGACTGCACGCTGTCTCACACCTCCCAACAAGCCTGCATTTGGAAGGTAAAATTGCGAGCCTGAGGACAAGTGGCACTTCAGCTTCACAAAGAGGAGCAAGACAAAGCCAGCATTTAGACCCAACTTGGTTTAATCACAACATTGAAATTCTTTACATTATATCATCACTACCCAAATTCAGAAAGGAAGAGGTTAAAACTAGGTCAAGCAAGGCAATCTGAAAGTTTTACTTAAGCAGTCATTGATTTAGCTAGATGGGAGGAAAGGTCATTTTAGAAGGAAGCAAAAGAAATCACCAAAGTTAAGCAGAAAGTCATTTTCTTGAGAATGAAATAGAGAAAACTTCCAGCAGCCTCCTGGCTGTTGGTGGGCCTCAGGACAGGGCATCTTGCTACAATCAGGCTGGGCTGATTGTTCCAACTGGTACAAGTAAAAATTAGAGTGCAAGAGGGTTGTTTGGGCTTAGCCGCAGCACCAGCTGGTAGAAGCCAGCACTGGGGGCTAACTCTGTCAAGTCAAACCACAGAACCACCTGAAGAGTGCATAAACCGGGAGTGAGAGAGACCTGGGAGGGAAATAGTGGGCTCTTCCCTCTTGGGTTACCACTCCCACGGGAGGGCACTAGGATGGGGGCTGGGGTGGCTAACAGAGAAGCACCCAACAACACCTGAGAGGGCTGGATAGTTGAGCTTGTTAGAGGGAACTAAGCTTCAATACCCATTGGCATGTACAGGAGCCAAATGGGAAGTGGGACAGACCGGACTACTCTGCTACACATACTGGCAAACCAGGGTAGGGGGCAGGCCTGGTGGGGGTTATTGTGGATTGCCCTGACTAGACTGCAGTTCCCACTGGTTTATGTAAGAGCCGAGTATGTGCTGGGCAGAACCAGAATGGACTGCAACACCCATTGGTTCCAGTGGAAGTCGGGACTGAAAGCAGAACCTACCCAGCAATTGCAACCACCAGCTGATGGGGCGATGGACTGTGCCGGGCCCTGTGCTTGCTAGAACACACAAGAATCAGGTCTGGGAATACCTTAAAGTTTCTTTGGGGGTCTTCCCAATCGAACTGCCGGACTCAGAACTCTAACCAAGAAAAGACAGAAGACAGAACAAGTCAATCAACCACCTCAGCTATATCTTGGCAGTGAAATACTGGGCAAATGGAGACTCTAGGATGGACTATGTCAATCAGTGGATTCTTCAATGACCTCATCGTGCTTGGAGTGGCGAGACTCACAGCGATTCATAACTGGTGAACTATCAAAACCACCTGAGCAAGTATCTAAGAGCATGCCCCACATCCGGGACTTGGTGTGGGTGGGAAACTGGGCGGGGCTTTTCCCTCAATATCTCCTTTTACCTCAGATACATGAAAGAAACAATATGGAAATGATGGTCTTACCCACTTCCCTATAGCCGTTGACCCTTTTTACCCTAATTAACTATGCAAAGACTGTCAAAAATATAATTTAAAAAAGATTAATTTAAAAAAAGAGAGAATGAAACAGAGAAAGAAACTATGGCAGTGAAAACCCAACAGGAAATTATAAACAATGCAGCCACTGGTTCAGTCTTCAGTCCCTGGCATACCTTAAGAAATTCCATAAATATAAGATGAATGAAAAACAATACCAAGTGGGCACAAGTACACACATACACACACACAACACATTGTAAAGAAAATGACCTAAGTGCAATCAATGAAGGACATTACACATATGCAGAGGCATATCAGAAGGTATTATGACTTGATAGTTCAAAATCCTGCCTCTCCCACTTACTTTGTGACAATAGACACTCTACAATTGATTTCTTATTTGTAAAACAGGATCAGTACCTTTCTCATTGAGTGTAACTCAGAATATAAGCTAATCAATGAACGTTATCCAGAGCTTGATATCAATTTTTCAGTAAATAGCAGCTATTAAACAGTCCCTGTAATTTCTCATATGTATGTATCTTGTTTTATCTTCCACTTTTAAAGCCTATTCCAAATACCACCTCATTCATAAAGCTTTTCCTGATTCTTAGAACCAAATCATCATCTCACTCTATTTTGTACTTACAGATTTTATATGCAGAAAACTGAAGCACAGATGCTAAGAAAACTGAATCTGGAGTCAGACTTAACTGAATTCTGGCTCCACCACATAAAATCACTCAATGACCTTGAACAAGTTCAAGTTCAATCATGATTCTAAACTGCTCTTTTTCCATAAGTAGATTTGAAGCAGTGGAAATGGCATAAGCAAAATGAGGGTAGAAAAGGGGAACAATAATAAGAAGACTACTGGGTTTGCTGTAAGATGATATGAAAAATAATTTACTACAATAACTAGCCCTTAATAAATGGAAGTTGAGCCTAGTGCGATAGCGTAATGGTTAAGGTCCTTGCCTTCAATGCGCAAGGATCCCATATGGGCACCGGTTCTAATCCTGGCAGCTCCACTTCCCATTCAGCTCCCTGCTTGTGGTTTGGAAAAGCAGTGAAGGACGGCCCAAAGCCTTAGGACTCTGCATCCATGTGGGAGACTCGGAAAGAAGTTCCTGGCTCCTGGTTATGAATCAGCACAGCACTGGCCATTGTGGCCACTTGGGAGTGAGTCAGAGGATGGAAGATCTTCCTCTCTGTCTATCCTCCTCTCTGTATATATTTGGCTTTCCAATAAAATAAATAAATCTTTTAAAAAATGGAAGTTATTACTAGCTAACAATCATTAACTCACATAGTAAATTCTAAATCATAATTTGGTCTTACCATGCCACATGCAGAGCACAGCATGACTGAGAAACTAGGCCCCAATTCAAACATAACTGAAAAATAGCAATTATTGCTGAGATCAAGCAACCCAAATAAAATGAGTTATTTAAAAAGAAGAACAGAGGCACTCTTGTTGTGGTATAATAGGTTAAGTGACCACCTGTGATACCATCATCGTATATGGGAACTGGTTCATGCCCTCAGTTGCCCCACTTCCGATCCAGCTCCTGGGAAAGTAGCTGAAGATGATCCAAGTGCTTGGGCCGACAACATCTATATGGGAACGTGGAAGACGCTCCTGGCTTCGATCTGGCTTTGATCTGGCCGAGCCCTGGCTGCTGCAGTCATTTGGAAAAGTGACCCAGCAAATGAAAGCTTGACCATGTCAGTCTCTCTCTGTAACTCTTCCCTTAAAATAAATAAATATTTTCAAAACAAAAATTGAATCGAATTAAAGGCAGAATCCTAATATTTCCAATCATACAAATTGTGAGATTTCCTATATTGCATGTGACTTTGTGGAGTTAGTTTGTTTTTTAAAAAATAGGTTAAAATACAAAACCATAGGTAAAAGTTCACTAATGGTACCTGGCCACAGAAGGTTCTTAAGAAACAGCTGCTAGCCCTCACCCCACTCTGGGCCTTTGGAATGCTTAGTACAGGGCTGGACCACAATACAGGCCGCTCACAGGAATGCAAGTCTAGTTTGGGAAGCCATGCCTGTCTCTGTTTTTTAAAAAGTAACAACAGGGCCCGGCAGCATGGCCTAGCAGCTAAAGTCCTCGCCTTGAACGCGCCAGGATCCCATATGGGCGCTGGTTCTAATCCCAGCAGCTCCACTTCCCATCCAGCTCCCTGCTTGTGGCCTGGGAAAGCAGTCAAGGACGGCCCAAGGCTTTGGGACCCTGCACCCGTATGTGGGAGACCTAGAAAGAAGTTCCTGGATCCTGGCTTCAGATCGGCACAGCACCGGCCACTGCGCTCACTTGGGAAGTAAACCATCGGACGGAAGATCTTTCTCTCTGTCTCTACTCCTCTCTGTATATCTGACTTTCCAATAAATAAATAAATCTTTAAAAAAAAAGTAACAATAAATCATTCTGCACCCCTTGAGTTTTACCAGATGGGAAGAACAAAGACAAGTGCTCAATTTGCGTCCTGTTCCACAAGGGAAATACCTGGCATGGATAACCACGACAACCAAACGCATCCAGACAGAGCTGTATTTAAAAACACAAATAGAAGCGTGAAGCATATTATCTCTTAAAAACCTTTAAAAGAGTGACATCATCTAGTTAAGCAAGTCAAAATCAATGTTTTCCAAATATGCCATTCCTGAGAAGAAACAATATAAGTACCGTAAAAGCTCAAATTTCACTGAGTTTAGTAAAACAGTTAAGAGTAAATCTTAATGTTTTGTGTGTATGTATGTGAGAAAGAGAACAAAAGCACAAAAACATACAAATCCACCAACAAACAATTTAAATCGAAAGTACGTAACTACTGAACTTGTATTAAGAACTAGGATAGGGGAGCCAAGTCAGTGGAATATATGAACTTTGTCATGTTTGGAACTCCAAATATGACAACCACATTTTTAAGGCCATCTTCTATTACAATAACTGAGTTACTTTTGAGAACCTTCACACAGACAGACTATGACAAGATACAGTTTATAGTTAACAATGTATTTATATTGTTAAGCCAGAAACTTTCACCTAGAAGTTGGAAAAGTTATACTACCTTTCAGTTAAAAAAAAAAAAAAAAAGAATCTTTCAATACTTTATTATTCTTTATCTATATCACACTTACAATTGAATGCTGGAGAAAAAAATTCTATAACCTCTTTCTTGTGCTTAAAACTTACTGCCAAGTTATGAACTTCCTCCAATCTAACTGATCAAAGAATAACTTGAAGCTCACCATGGCAATAAAAGTTTCATATCACTCAGGTTGCCATGACAGCTTCATTTCACTAAAACATTCTTTACTTTTGCTGCAGCATTAAGAAAACTCTGCTGTAACTGAAGAGGGTTTGCCAACCAATAAACCTTCATTCACCCCACAAATACACAATTAGTATTTATAATATACCACACATACCGTGCTACTACCAGGTAAATATAGTGAAAAATACCTTTAAAACACATTTTTTACACTTTTAATTTTATTCCAGGTTTTTGCAAATGTCCAAAGAAATGATATTTTATGATTTCTCCAGAAAGGAAAGCACAGCTATCTCAAAATTTCAGAGGCTGAACCAATACAGGAACAAAGATGAAAAAGTCCTTGAGCATAAAGACTTTAAAGGACATAAAGGGATCCTAAACATATCTAGTCATTACTACTTTCTAGATTTCCTGTCAAATTTAACTGAAAATAAATAAATGAATAAATAAACAGGTAAAACTACCACATATTTACCACCTTGGTTATAAGTATGCGTATGTATACATATATAAACACATATATGTGTATATAGCTAAGAAAACTCAAAGAATGGCATCAACAAACCCATTCCAGGGACATGCTTGAGCTTCTGCGAGCACTTCAGTAAAACATGCACCATGAAGGCCACTCCATACTCACTTGGAATGGTTTTCTACAGATTCATCTTTCTTCACTTCTGTCTCACCCTCTACTTTTGTGCCTTTATTTGTTTCATCCAGCCAATCTGAGACATGTTTAAGAGCACATTCAACAGTAGACACCATATTCTGTACAGCTTCAAGTTCTTCTGGAGATGGATAGATTGTTGAATGTTTCACCATAACATGGCGGTCATCGTTGGCAAAAGATCGAATAGATCTCTGTCAGAAGGAAATAGAAAACATTACTTCAACAGCAGAAACATCACTTTAAAAATGACATACAAGGCCGACACTTGTGATGATTAATTTACCATCAGAACACCTGCGTCCCCGTCAGAGTACCTAAAGGCTCAAGTCCAGATCACTGCTCAGAAGACAGCAAATGACAGCTCAAGAGATGTTGTCCAGACATGGCAGATCCAGAATTCTTTCCCAACTCATGGCATCAGCCTGAGCCAGTACTGACGGTGGGCCTTTGAAGACTGAACCAGGAGCCAGTACTAAGGCCTAGAGGGACTGAGGCAGCGATGCCTGCATCCCATATAGGTGCCAAATTGGGTCCCAGATGTTCCACTTCTGATTTAGCTCCAGTTAATGTGCCCGAGAAAGCAACAGAAGATGGCCAAAGTACTTGGCCCCTCTACCCACACTGGAGAGTCAGAGAAGCTTCTGGCTCAGGCTTCAGTCTGGCCCAACCCCAGCCACTGTGGCCATTTGGGGAGTAAAGCAGTAATAGATCTCTCTCTTTCCAACTCTACATTGCAAATAAATAAAACAAATCTTTCCACAAGAATAACAAAAGTAAATGGATGGTAAATGTCTCTCTTTCAAATAAAATGTGTAAATTTTAAAATAAGATGACAAATATATTTTAAGTCAGCTAATAGGATTAACAAACTGATATGAAAGAAAACTGAGATAAACATTCTTGGGAATAGGAATAAAATCTGAGTCTACCGAACTCCACAAGAGAAAATTAAAGATCATCCATCATGTTTTGGTAAGGCTCATCTAGGCCACATTCAAGATTATAAATATGCTGTTTCTTAGCTGAACCTATGCATTCTGAGTAAGATGTCTGAAGAGGTACCCACATGACACCCACAGCTAAAGAACAATGGTTTTAAAAGACTCTGTAGAAATGCATGATGGTGCACGGTGTGCAACCACACATTTGAAAACCACTGGAGAGTTTAACATCTTAAACAGTTGAGATTTGGGCCCAGCGCTGTGGCCTAGTGGCTAAAGGCCTCGCCTTGAACATGCAAGGATCCCATATCGGTGCCAGTTCTAATCCCGGAAGCCTTGTTTTCCATCCAGCTCCCTGCTTGTGGCCTGGGAAAGCAGTTGAGGATGGCCTCAAGACCTTGGGACACTGTACCCACATAGGAGACCCGGAAGAGCTCCTGGCTCCTGGCTACGGATCAGCACAGCTCTGGCCGTTGCAGTCACTTTGGGAGTGAAGCATCGGATGGAAGATCTTCCTGTCTGTCTGTCCTCCTCTCTATACATGTATCTACCTTTCAATTAAAAATAAATAAATCTTTAAAAAAATGTGAGATTACAGTACCAATACACATGAACTATGGAAAAGACAAATACAGTCTACAACTTCACATTTCAAACTTTTACACTGAGGCTTTAACATCCAAAATAAGTTACAAATTCTAGAAAGGGAAAAATACATACTGCAAAACAACTGACCTTCCAAGCTAATTTATAAATGTATTACACTCTCAATCAGGACTGATTTTCTTAAATGTCAATAAAAACCACTTCAATGCACACGTTTTTTAAAGAACTGGCAGGGCTAGCATGATAGTTCAACTAGCTAATCCTACCCCTTCAAACGTGGCATCTCACATGTGCACTGGTTCATGTCCTGGCTGCTCCACTTTCATTGGCCTTTCCAATAAATATACATAAATCTTTTCTAAAAACGGGCCATAAATAAAGTACAAAGATAGCATGCATAGAACCATTACACTAAAACCAAATATCAAAAAAAATTTTTAAAGTAGTGTTTAAATGACATGCTAGCCAGGAACCAGTAGAGCAGACTAACACCCAGAAATAGCACAAACTACATGAAAATGCAACATGGCAGATCATTCACACTCATGAGTCACACATTCAAAACCTTTCAAATATTTCCAAATTTACAAATGTCATGGAGGTTTGTACCACAGCAAAATGAACAAGGATAACACGGTTAATTTTCCATAAAATTAAAAGTATCCATGTAAAAAGTAGATTAAAGTCTTCACTTACCTAATCATATACTAATACCACAAAAAATAGCTGACAATTCTATCAGTCTTACCTCCTTTGTTTTGCTCTTACACAATATCAACATTTTGAAATCATATTCATTTAGAAACTAGCAAGTTAACACTAGGATATTACTGTCCCCTGTAAATAAGCTGTCTCATATATAAGATAAAAGCAACACAGAAAAATTAGAAAACAATCAAAGAAATTACATTAAGACACAACAGAAAAATCTAAGCAAAATCATAAACTAGGAAAGAAATTTCATCAGGTATGAGAAATACATATGAAACTTAAACAAAAACATAACAAAAAAAAAAAGATTTATCTGCTGGTTGACTCCTCAGATGGCCATCACTAGTGATGAGCCAGTCCACAGCCAGGAACAAGGACTGAGGCCTTGGCAGGGGCCCAATGACTCAGGCCATCTTCCACTGCTGTCCCAGGCTTATCAGCATGAACTTTGATTAGAAGGGAAGCACCCAGGACTCAAGCAGGTGCCCACATGGGATGCAGGCACTGACATCCACTATGCCACAACACTGGCCCCTAAACAAATTACTTTAAGATGTAAGAATATTGAGATGATAAGAAACGAGTTGAAGAAGCAAATAATTCACATTTCAGGAAACATATTTCTCCCACCATCCAGATCTCAACATTAAAATTTTTCTTAAGAACAAGGAGACTATCTTATAATGTTGGAAGTAAATAACATTCAAATAAATATCATCAGACCAGCTATATAACATATTCCAAACATACTCATCATTACATTTTGTACTTCTCTCACATTTTTTTTTAAACATTTATGTTTATTGGAAAGGCAGATGTACAGAGAGGAGCCAGACATAGAGGAAGGTCTTCCATCCGATGACTTACTCCCCGCCCCCAAGTGGCCGCAATGGCTGGAGCTGCGCCAATATGAAGCCAAGAGTCAGGAGCCAGGAGCCTCTTTTGGGTCTCCCTTTCAGGTGCAGGGTCCCAAGGCTTTGGGCCACCCTCGACTGCTTTTTCCTAGGCCACAAGCAGAGAGCTGCATGGGAAATGGGACCACGGGAATATGAATCTGTGCCCATATAGGATTCTGGAACATGCAAGGTGAGGAATTTAGCCGCCAGGCTACCATGCCAGGCCCTTATTCACATCTTTTTAAAATGCTTTCTCACTTCAGGAAAAAGTTCACACAACACTCTATAGAAGCAAAACAGAGTGAGAAAATTTAGTACTTACATAAAACAAAACTCTGTTGGCCAGGGGGCATTTGGTAAAGCAATGAAATCACTGCCTGGCATGCCCCTGATCCTTTCTGATTCAGCTTACAACCAATGCACAGCCCAGTGGTCAGCAGAGGATGGACTCAACCATCTGGGACCCTGCACCTTATGTACAATTCTGGGATCCTGGCTTGAGCTTGACACACTTCTGACTGCTGTGGACAGCTGCAGTAGAGGGAAGATCTTTCTGTCTCTCAAATAAAATAAAAATAAATTATTTATTAAAGTGGAGGAAAAAATGGCCCGGTACAGTAGTCTAGTGGCTAAAGTCCTCGCCTTGAATGTGCCAGATCCCTTGTGGGCACCGATTCATACTCCAGCGGTCCCACTTCCCATCCAGCTCCCTGCCTGTAGCCTAGGAAAAGCAGTCGAAGACAGCTCTGCACCCGCAAGGGAGTCCTGAAAAAGGCTCCTGGCTTCAGATTGGCGCAGCTCCAGCCGTCGTGGCCACTTAGAGAGTGAATCTTTGGACAGAAGATCTTCCTCTCTGTCTCTCCTCGTCTGTATATTTTGACTTTCCAATAAAAAATAAATAAATCTTTAAGAATAAATCAAGTGAGAAAAAAAATGGGAGTCAGGGCAACTGGGAACATGTATCTGCCTTAGCAATTACATTTGGATTCCAGCATCCCATCCCAGAATGCCTGGGATCAATTTCTGGTTCCGGTCCCCAATTAGACTCTGGGAGGCTCCAGGTGATGGCTTTCAGCTTCAGCTTGGCTCGGCCCAACCTCTGCTATTGCCGGCCTTTGTGAAAAGAATCAGTAGATGGGAACTCTGCTTCTCTCTCTCAAATTTAAAACTAAAAACAAAAGCCAAAACTAGGCCCCAGAGGGCATGTCTGTCTCTACTATAACACATAAATAGGAATTCATCACAAAATGCTACTTTTTTCCTTTCTACTCACTTCAATGTCTCTTATACACATTATGACTTGACCCTATTATTTTAAAACAGATGACTTTTTGAGCTAAAGACATATTTATAATCTCCCAAGCCACTCATACCAAGAATTAACGGACTGGGTCAAGATCATGAACTTCCAGAGAAAAAGAGTTCAAGTAGTACAGAAAAACATTTCATTTTGAGTTTAAGGTCACGTACCTATTCATATGTTTTCTAATGCCTATCTGAAAATGTTATGGATGAGCATTCCTTCTTTTGTATTTAATAATTTATGGCCTGCAAGCTCCTGGGGCTCCATCTTGTGGTTTAAAGGGTTCATAATAAATCTGAATGCATTTGCTTTGCTTAAACAGTAGAGAGCCATCTTACCTGATACACTAGAACCAAAATTAGCACCAATGTTGTTCACTTCACCTTATTATCAATACTTCCCATTTTAAATTACTGGAATATTTACAATTTACACTAAGAAAATGTAGACCAGCACTTACCATGGTTTTCTATAGTATCTTGGCTTTTTCCTTGGATCCTTTTCCCTCTTTCTTGTCGTCTTCACTAGACACTGTTGTGTGTGACAGAAGCTCCTCATAAGCCTGAGTCCCTTGACAACTCAGTGCCAATATACCAAAAACGTTTGAAATCTGGAATACACCTACAAAACAAGTGGAAAGACAAGTTATCAAAAATGTCTACTTACAACTAAGGTGCTTCCAATCTGAGTGTGAAGCTCATGACCATGTTACTCATTTAAAAGAAACAAATGTTACAGAGGAAAACTGTGTCATTTCAAATAAAAAGTTAACACACTCCTTGAAAACCTAAGCCCAAGAGCCTAGTTAGGGGACAGACAGGGAAACCTCCCGGCAGCCACAATGCCGCTGCCAGCTGACTTGTACTCTGAGATGGAAGTCTCCGTAGGCACAGATTGCGTCAAGAAACAGCACCTGAAACAGTCATCTTACTTTTGGTAGCAGCAACAATAATAATCTACAGATTTTCAATTACACCTATATGAAAATTTAGAAAACAAAATACACAAACATACAGCAATAATATAAAATTTAACACAGATTGCTCCTTGATGCTTTGCCATTAGATAATAAATGTTGGCATAATGCTCATTCTTTATTTTTAGACCTAAACTCTCTCAATGTTTTTTTGGCTCTGTTCTCCTAACTCCCGAGCTACACTACAGCCCTTCAACCTGTCTGCCCCTCTGCTTCTTAGATATCCACAGCCAGCATCTCGCTGTGTACATCTGCCAAGAGCACCAATCATCATTCCGCCATGCACTTTGCTTCCATTCATTTATTCCCGACAGTGTAACAGTCTTCTGGTGACTGGCTAACGTCTTGTAAACCATAAACGCAACTGTTAAGAACACTTTCTCTTTATTTAATATCTTCAGGCTTAAATTTCATTTGTCAACAGAGAAATACCCTTATCAGTATCTTAATACTAGCTGCTCTTTTGTTATTTTCTGGGATTATTGGTCTTCTATTTTAAAACCAAAGACAGGGTCTGGCATAGTGGCATAGTAGCCTAGTGGCTAAGACCTTGCTTTGCATGTGCAAGGATGTTATAACAGGCACTGGTTCATCTCCCGGCTGCTCCGCTTCCCATCCAGCTCCCTGCCTGTGGCCTGGAAAAGCAGTGGAGAACAGCTCAAAGCCTTGGGACCCTGCGTGATAGACTCAGAAGAAGCTCCTGGCTTCAGTTTGATTTACCAATGGCCGGTGCAGCCACTTGGTGAGTGAAGAGGGAAGATCTGTGTCTTTTCTTCTCTCTGTATATCAGACTTTCCAATAAAACTAAATCTTAAAAAAAAAAAAAAAAAAGAATGAAGCAGGACTGAGAATGGTAGAAGCCGAAGACTCCATGAAGTTTCATAATAGTTACTACATAGGTGGTGTAATTTTAGTGGAAAAAAATGTTTCTGAGATATCTCTTGCTCGGGTTTGTGCTTAAGTTGCTGACTTCAGCCACTAGGATACTGTGCCGAGGCCACCCTGCTTCATCCTAGAGGATTAAAGCATTCAGTACTTAGCAATGAATCCAGTTACTCAAAAAACTTTCATGCATTGTCAAAAACTGAAACGTCCACAAGCTTTACTCTGTGAAATATGAAGCAGTTTATCAACCATATTAAGAAAGTAGACTGCAAACAAACTTCTGATGTAGTGGGAAAATCACAGATCTTTTATACTACATTCTGCAGTTTTAGCATAGATTACCCTATGCATACACTTATCAAGTACCTCGGCAAACTCCAGAGCTTAACAGCATGTTGTAATCACCCATGACATAAAAACACAATAGCTCAGAATCATATTGCACCAGTGCTGTAAAAATGAACTTCTGGAATCATCTGACCCAACCCCACCCTCAGTATACAAATGAAACAAACAGATAAGATTATACAGCCAACCAGGGAGGACCATGGTTTAACATATAAATCATAAAACTTGTACCCCACAGTACCACTCTGGGAAAAAAGAGAAGTCAACCACATTTGGTACACTCCAGGCAAATAAGGAAAATTGCAAGGTATTTTTAGTTTCTCTTTTAAAAACTGGTCAACTTAGTATATAAAATTCGGGCTCTAAAATTTTTCTGGAAGAGCAATTTTATCATTTAATAGAAAGCTATGGAACTTAGAAAGTCACTTTTATTTCCTTGGGTTTGCATATCCTTTATAAAGAAGCATTTCACTGTTAATCAACAGATAGCCTTTATGGAAGGCAGACACTGCAGCAGCACTGCTCTGAGAGTTTTTAATACAGTAACACATTTAATCCTCACAACAATCTCAATTAGGGTCTCCATGTAAAACACAAAGAATGTGAAAGTGCAAAAAGTAACACCATCGGATTAAAATCTCAGGGCAAGAGAATGGGAAAGTCTAGATTCGATTTTATGCAATCTCTCCTTTAAGGCTTTTACCTTTATACCACGGGATAAATGTTAGCTATTTCAAAAAACAAACCCAAGGAAAAAAATTAGAGATTTATTTATTTATTTGAAATACAGAAGGCAGAGTTACGAAGAAGGAAAGGAAGAGAGAGAGAAATAGAGAGAAAGACGTTTATCTGCTAGCTCATCCCCAAATGGTCCCACAGGAGCCAGGAGCTTCATCCAGGTCTCCCATGTGAGTGCTGAGACCCAATTACTTAGACCATCTTCTGCTCTTTTCCCAGGCACCTTAGCAGGAAACTATACTAGAAGTGGAATACACAGCACTCACACTGGCAACCACATGTGGATGCTGGGGCTGGGAGCTTGAGCTGCAATGCTACAGCACTAACCCTAGCCAAAGAACACCAGCGGTAACTCACTGCTGGTTCAAATCCCTGATGACATAATTTGTACATCATGTCATATTGTTACTTGCCATCAGTTTATCTTCTCAATGTTCAGATCTTCCACTCATTTTTAATACAGCTGTTTTCATATTGCTTATCTGTGTATTTTGGGTAGCAGTTCTTTATCACATAGGTGTTTTATAAACACTGTCTAAAAAAATTTTTTTAAGGCAGATTAGATTTACATAGAGAAGGAGAGACAGAGAAAGATGCACCATCTGCTGGCTCACTCCCAAAAAGACCACAAAGACCAGAGCTGAAGCCAGGAGTTGGAAACCTCTTCTGGGTTTTCCATGGGGGTGTGGGGTCCCAAGGCTTTGGGCCATCTTTCTACTGCTTTCCCAGGCCGCAGGCAGGGAGCTGGATGGGAAGTGCAGCAGGCAGGACATGAACCAGTGCTATATCGGATCCTAGTGCTTGCAAGGTAAGGAATTTGCCAACTGAGCCATCACACCTAGTCCCAACTGTTTTTCTCAGCATTATTTTTCACAAAAAAATAAAAGCTTCTTTTAATTTTAATGAATTCAAGTATATCAATGTACTTCTTTCATGCATCACACTTTTGAGGGTGTTTTATCACATTTTTAACTGACCTATAGAGTGAAAAGTTTAGATAACAGTCTGCAACGATTTTTTTTTCCTTCCTTAGGAAGAGATTTCAAAACTAAATTACTATGACCTCTATATATTTAAACTATGCACTTCAAATACTGAGGAAACTGCCAGGCTTAACCCATTGTGCTACAATACCAGCATCATTAATTGCCTATTCTGTACTCAGTACTACCATGTTTTTAGTAACAGGTTACAACACAAAATCAACTCAGAACACTCAAAGGGGAAGTAAAGCCAACTACATATGAATTTAATATTCACCCATCCCTTCAAATAAATTTTCCCTGCATACTGTTGTTATTTATGTGTATTACCAATGTGAAGAACAAAAAGAATTTCAGTATCTTCTTCCAGAAGGCTCCTATTTGGGGGTGGAGGGGAAGCACAGCAGAGAACAGCATGCGCAGCCGGCTAAGCCACCACCTGTAACACTGACATCTCGCACAGGCATCAGATTTGAGCCAAGGTTTCTAAACTTCCAATACAGCTCCGAACAAAGCAGCCAAAGATAGTCCAAGTACTTGGGCCCCACCACACCCATGGGAGACCCAGATGGAGTTCTAGACTTCTGGCTTCAGCCTGGCCCAGCCTCATCAGGCAGTGATTATGTGAGTAAATTAGCAGGCAGAATATTTCTTTGTCTTTCCCTCTCTGTTACTCTTTGAAATATATGCATACATGCAGACATGCAGACATACATGAATTTTTTAAAAGTGAGAAACTTAGAAAAATAAGAAAGGCAAATGCGAGGTGAATGTTTCCAGTCTAGCAGTGAAGGCATCAGTTAGGACACCTGCATCTTTTGGGGGCAGCATTGTGTCACAGCACTAAGCTGCCACCTGCAACACTGGGACCCCATTTAATGCCCATGAGAGTCTGTTTACATCCCACAGCTCCACTTCTAATCCAGCTCATTGCCACTGGCCAGGGAAAGATAGCAGAAAATGGCCCAAATATTTGGGCCTCGGTCACCTATATGGATGGAAGACCCAACAGAAGCTCTTGACTATAGCAGTCATCTAAGGAGTCAACCAATGGATGGAAAGTAATGCCCCGCCCACTGTGTGTGTGTGTGTGTGTGTGTGTGTGTGTGTGTGTGTGTGTGTGTGTGCGCGCGCGCGCGCGCGCCTCTGGAAGGAAGCAGTGATAGCTGAAGTGACTCAGCTCCTGTCATCCACTAGAAAGATCTCGACTGAGTTGCCGGTTCCTGGCCGCTGGCTCCAGCTCCAGCCCAGCAGTATTTAGGGAGTGAGTCAGCAGATCAGAGTTTTGTCAACATAAACATATATCTCTTTTCCTCCTAAATAAATAAGGCACATGAGGGAAGACTAAACTGGAGAAAAAGGGGGGGGGGGAAGTGGGGAAAGGGAACCGGGGCCAGTGCAGTAGCCTAGTGGCTGAATCCTCGCTTTGCATGCGCCAATATCCCTATGGGTGTTGGCTCTTGTCCTGGCAGCCCAGCTTCCCACCCTGCTTGTGGAATGGGAAAGCAGCCGAGGACAACCCAAAGCCTTGGGACCCTGCAACCACGGGGGAGAAGCTCCTAGCTATAGATTGGCTTAGCTCCAGCCACTGTGGCCATGTGGGGAGTAAACCAGCAGATGGAGGATCTTTCTCTGTCTCTCCCTCTCTATGTAATTCTGACTTTCCAATAAAAATAAATAAATCTTAAAAA